TAACAAAACATGTCAAAAGAAGGAATAAGATTAGTATTTGTAAAGAAATAAATTTTGTGGTTTTTTTAAAAAAATTATTGACAGTAAGAAATTAAGACATATCCCCACTCATTAGCCTAAAGATAACACATTTTTTTCTTATTCTTTTCATATCTTGATATTGTAATGATCAGACTGATTTTTCCTGCTACATTCTTGATTTTGATAATGTATCAGAACTCTTTCCTCTCTTTAAACCAGATATAATCACCCTGCGAAACTTCTGGAAACACGATGTGGACGGTGTGGCGAGTGGGCCAATTGCTTTACACTGTGTTGTCGAGCTCTGGGGTTCGAAGCTCGCTACGTCTGGGATTACACAGGTACAGAGCGTGATGTGCACACAGGGTGGGAGAGTGTTCACGCTGACAGATTTGGGTTTATAATCTGGTTCCATCGTTTCCTCTCTTTTACATTCCAACCTCATTAATCAAATTTTGCTTTCTGCAAAATAACAGTAATGCCAGCGTCACAGGGCATTTTGTTCTAACATACGATTTCTCTACTTTTATTAGCAGTTTACCTGGATATATAGTAGTGTCATTTCTATATAGATAAAAGTATGTATAATGTGTTTTGGAAGTCTTTATTTTTTTTCTGGGAAATAGTAGAAAGTATTTTAACTTAAAGTTTGAGTAGCCTTAACTTTTAATGTATAGAAATGCTTTATTAAAAACCAAAAGAAATTTTTTTTTTCTTTATTTAGAAATGACTGTTGTTATCTTCATATTAAGAAAGATCTTTTTTCTTTTTAAAGAGTTTTACTTGTGTTTCAGTTGGGGTTTTAGTCTTTGTTTAAAAAATAAATAAAGTCTGCACTTAGTATTTATTGTTCTTTTGCTATCAAATACAAAGCACCAGTAATCAGGAATACTTTGTTAAACTTCCTCCTGTTCTGAGTATTAACATTGATTTGAAAAGTGCCATGAATGTCTTCCCACTGACAAAGTGAGTTGAGTATTTTTTATGTTGTTCAATAAGTGACCACCTGTGGAATAATGGTGCACATTTGTTTTAATTAAGCTTTAAACTGACTGCATTAACCTAACTAGCCCAAAACCAAAAGAGGTACATTGTTAAGAATTTGAAAGAAAGGGAAATTTTAAAATAGAAGTGTCCTAAAATCTCTTGTCTTCCATTAAACGTTCTGTCTTAACTAAAATGTAGAGTATATCGAAATTATCATGTGATGATTTTTTTTTTACCTCAGTCACTTATAGTTACTGTAAATCATTCTGGTTAAATTTAACTTCTCTTTTATCCCCCACTGCTTTCCTCCCCCCCCCCCCCGGGGGCCTTGCACAGACCACGTGTGGACAGAGGTCTATTCTCCTGGTCAGCAGCGGTGGCTACACTGTGACGCGTGTGAGGATGTGTGTGACAAGCCACTCCTTTACGAAGTGGGATGGGGCAAGAAGATCTCCTACATTATAGCATTTTCTAAAGATGAGGTAGGAGGAGGGGAAGGATTGTAGAACAATGGAAGAATTTTACTTTTCAAAGAGAAGAGCAAACGGGGTGTGGGGAGCTGTGGAGGGAGAGCGGGCAGGGAGAAAAGTGCAACAATGAATGAGTGGAAATCCAAAGTCTCTGTAAATTTTCATTACAATTAAAAAAATTTTTTTTTAAAAAAAGATGATGCAACAATGAATGAAAGAAAATCCAAGGTCTGTAAATTTTCTTTGAAATTAATAATACATTTAAGAAAAAGAATAAGGGGGGGAAGATGAGGTAGGAGATAGAGGGGAAGTAAATGCCTTAAAATACAGTTTTCTAAAATTTCTCCTTGACAGTTTTGTGGAGATAAAAAATGACAAACAGTGACACATGTGTGTGTGTGTGTCTGTGTCTGTGTGTGTGTATCTATCTATATAAAAGTATGTGGTTAATAAGTTTTGATATTTGTCTGTATGTCCGTCCGTCCCCACCTCCAGTTAAGATACTAAACATACTCATTATCTCCACAAGTTTCTTTCCTGCCTTTCCCGCTGTGATCTGGTCTGCTTTCTGGCATTGTAAATTGTAGCTCTAATGTTGATGGCTTTTTTTTTTAAATTGTGATTTTAGTGAAAGTTTACGGAAAAGGTAGTTTTTCCATTCATTCGTTCATGGATACACATTTTCCTCCTTCCCTCTCCCCCAGTTCACTTTGTGATGCAATGCATGTCTTGTTCCAGATTGTCAGTTGCCATACGCTCAATGCCCAGTCATCCTTTCCCTGCAGATAGTCCCTCGTAACCATGATCCTGTGCAGTATTTGTCCTTTTCTGACTGAGATATTTCACTCAGTGTAATGTTTTCTAGACTCATCCAGTTTGGGTACAAGTGCATTTTACAGGTACATTGCTTTGCCAGTGCTGTAGATGTACCACATTTTTTTAATCCTTTTGTTTGTTGACAGATACATGAGCAGCTTCCATCTCTCGCCATTGTGAATAATGCTGCAGTAAACATAGGAGTGTGGACATCTGTCTGCATCACAGTTCTGCTTTCTTTATATTCCCAGTAGTGGGCTAGCTGGGCATATTCCCAGTGGTGGAATAGCAGGAAATAGATACAGTATTTCTATTTCCAGTTTAATGAGAAAAAGCCAGATTGCCTTCCATAATGGTTGTATCATTTTACATTCCCACCGGCAGTGAATGGGAGTTCAATCTCTGCATATTCTCACCAGCATTTATTGTTTGCTCCCCTGTTTAACTTTGCCCTTGTTATTGGGGTGAGATAGTATCTCATTGTTATTTTAATTTGCATCTCTCTGATGGTTTTCTGTAAATGGAATTAAAGAGTGTAGAATCCTTGACAGAAGGGTGTTCAGGTTTCTCTCATTTGGCTTTACTATTCTGAGACTTATCCACGAGTTTGTTCTTATCACTTGCATATTCCGTTTTTTTTAAATGTCTTCCTTCCTTCCTCCCTCCCTCCCTCCCTCCCTTCCTTCCTCTACAGAGATTTTGGAATTCCATTCATTCATTGTTGCACCCTTCTCCCCGCCCACACCCCCCTCACCCCGTTTGCGCATATTCCTTTTAGCTGCTCTGTAATATTCCCTTGTAAGTATGGATGTCTTATGTTTAATTTATCAGTGCACTTGCTTATGAATGAACCACCTGTGTAATTCCCGGGGTTTACGGTTTGAAAGAAACTGGCTGTGAATATTCATGTGTGCAGGTCTTTATACGGGCATAAACTTGTTTTTGCTTTAGTTAGTGCCCAAGAGTAGATAGACTGGGCCATACGTGACAGGTATGTTTTAACTTTTCATCAGCAGTGTCCAAAAAGCTCCCAGTTTCATTTTGAGCCATTTTAATGAGCTTGTTATGGTTTTTATTTGCGTGTGTTTGACAATAAATTAGAGAGTGCTGGTGGCCTAATCAGTAGGTGGTTGTGCTGCCACCCATAGGAAGGGGATTTGAGTCCGCCGGCTGCTCCACAGGAGAACGGTGGACATTGTCCTCTTGGGCAGTTTACAGTGCACCAACCGGTCGAGTATGAGTTAGTCCAGCTCAGGGGCAGTAAGTGAGTGTGTAATGAATTATATGGAACATCTTTTCATGTGTTTATTTGCCATCAGTAGGCTTTCTTTGCCATTTCGTTTTTCAAATTGGCTTGCATATTTTCTTGTTGATTTTTGAGTGTTCTTTACCCTTTGCAAAGATTTCCCCCCCTCTTCTTTGTTGCTCAGATTCTCATTCTGTTGAAAGTGATTTTTGGAGAAGATTATAATGTTGATAGTATCTAATAGATAACATTTTCTACATAGGGATTGTACTTTTTAATGTCATAGATAATATTTGTATATGTTGAAGTCACAAAACTTTCCCCCCTGCTTCCTTTTAGAAGTTTTTTTAATTTTCATTTGATATTTAGTCCTGTGGTCCAGTGTGAGTTCACTGGTTCAAGGTATGGACTGGTCATTCATTTTTTTGCATTTGGTTAAACATTTGTTCCAGCACCATGTCATTGTACATTCTCTGTTCAGTTCTTTGTTGCTTTATTAAAAAAAATCAGTTGTTCTAGAATGTAAATTTAGTGCAATAGAAACAGAAAGTGTTTTGTTTTATGAAATCCACTTTGTAGATAACTTTAAAAAAGACCAAAGTTTATATTCTGAAAATGTTATCTTTTCCGCGGACTTTGTTAGCGCTCTGGTGGCCTCCTGGTTAAAGAGTTGTACTGCCAACCCAAAGGAAGTGGTTTGAATCCACCAGTTGCTCCACAGGGAAGTAATGGGCAGTCTCTTCCCGTGCAGTTTACAGCCTCTGAAAACCCTGTGGAGGTCAGCTAGAAGGTAGTTAGTTCCAGCAGTGAGGTGATTAGTTCATTCGTAGAAATAGGATTGTAAAGAAAATGAGTAAGTAAACATCTTTTCTTTCACAGGTTGGCGGTTTGTGTTGGGCTTTTTTCCCCTCCCCATTTAGATGAATGTTTATAATCTTAAAATTGTGTTTAACTGTTGTGTTCTTTTTAGCAAATCTAGTATTTAATGCATCAAGATTGATGATTGATGATAATCTTATTAAATATCACTTTCTGTGATTTGTTTAGGTGGTTGATGTCACCTGGCGATACTCTTCCAAACATGAAGAAGTCATCTCTAGAAGAACTGAGATTAAAGAAGAATTACTTCGAGAAACTATTAATGGACTTAATAAGCAGGTATGCAAATTTGATTTGTCAATTTTGAGGGCATATTTGAAGTTTTTCATATAATTGAGAATAACCAAATTTGTAATTCATTGACATCCTTAAAGTAGTAGCATTATTTTGCAAGCAAAAATATTTAAATATCTTAAGTTTTGTTCTCTGAAAATGTGAAGATTCATTTTAAGTAAAATACTGTGTTTTACTTATGCTACTCTGGATAAATTTTCACTGTCTTTTCTCAAATTTCAGTGAAACAAATTTCTATATATATTGTACTTGACTTTAAATGCTAGTTTATTTATCAGAATGGTTGTGTTTTGCTTATAATCTTACATGTGCACGCACACTCATCTGTTATGAAATTTCTGAAACAGTACAGGAAGTGGTCAGCATTGGCTACTTTAGACAAGAGGAGCTGGGTGTTGACAGTTTACTTTTATACTCTTCTGTAGTATTTCTTTCTTTCCTACTATATATTTGAAAGTTTAAAAAAAATCGTAATTAAGGAAACGAAAAGCAACTAAGTATGCTTGGCAGATAATTAAAAATGTTGTACTGCCTTGATACTAGTACTACCTGTGTCTGGCCACCTGCCCTAGTGTGAATGTCTACAAAAGCTGGAAACACACACAGAGACACAGATGTAAAACACCCGTCTGAATTCTCAGAAAGCTACCATAGTGATCGGAATTTGAGAAGTCAAGACACCAAGAGAAGATCCTACTACGCATCCCTTTCCCTTCTGAGTATTTGCAGTTTCTAAGTGGTAACGGTCAGGGGCATCTGAGATGTCCAGCACAGCTAGTATATCAGAGCTGGAAGCCCAAGTTGCTGTGGCCCCATTTCAAATATAGAGGGCCCTGGAAACACGTATTAAATGAGTTTCCAAGTAAAATGTGTCTTTGCAATCACTTCTTATGCATCAGAGAGTTGAACAATGACCAGGGAGGATAGAAGGAGAATTAATGCCTTTGAGCTGTGGTGCTGGAGAAGAGTATTGAGAGTACCATGGACTGCTAGGAAGCAAACAGATTCATCCTGGAAAGGGTTAAACCAGGTGGCTCCTTGGAGGCAAGGATTCTGAGGCTCCGTATAACATACTTTGGACATGTTGT